ACACACAGACACACGAACACCCAGACATGCATGTACACACATGCCACACACAGACACATGTACGCAGGCATGGCACACACAGGCACACACACACAACACACAGGCAAACAACCAGACATGCATGTACATACATGCCGCACACAGACACATGTATGCAGGCACGGCCCACACATGCCCACACACACAACACACAGGCACACAAACACCCAGACATGCATATACACACATGCCACACACAGACACATGTATGCAGGCATGGCACACACAGGCACACACACATACACACAGGCAAACAACCAGACATACAGGTATGCACATGCCCCATGCAGACACATGTATGCAGGCACGGCACACACATGTATGCACACACAGGCACACAGGCAAATACCCAGACATGTATTTACACACATGCCACACGCAGACATGTGTACACAGATATGGTACACACAGATGCACACACACAGGGACACAGGCAAACACCCAGACATGTATACACACATCGCACAAAGACACAGGTACACAGGCACAGTACACACAGGTGCACACACAGGAATACAGGCAAACACCCAGACACACATATACACATACGCCCCACGCAGACACATGTACGCAGGCACAGCACACACAGGCACACACACATACACACAGACACACAAACACCCAGATATGCATGTACACACACGCCCCACACAGACACATGTATGCAGGCACATGCACATACACAAAGACACACAGGTAAACACACAGGTGCATGCACAGACACACAGGCAAACACCCAGGCACGCATGTACACACATGCCCCATGCAGACACATGTACACAGGCATAGCACACACAGGTGCAAACATACAGACACACACACACAGACACACAGGTGAACACCCAGACACACAGGTACACACATACCACATGCAGACACGTGTATGCAGGTACAGCTCACACAGGTGCACACATGCACACACATATAGGCACACACAGGTAAACACACACACGTATGCAAAGACACATACACAGGCACACACATATGCACACACATACACACACACATATGCACACACAGGTGATGAACACCCTGACACACATGTACACACATGCCACACACAGACACGTTTATACAGACACATCATACAGAGGCACACACACAAAGGCAAACAGATACCCACGTACACACACACCACACGCAAAACATCATACACACCATGCAGGCACACATGTACACTACACAGGGACTTACACGCCACACATAGGCACACATACAGGCAAATGGATACCCACGTACACACACACCACATGCAAAACATGTACACACACCAGGCAGGCGCACACACACACAGCACACAGAGACATACATACCACACACATGCATTCACTCACACACACATACACTACACAGGCATATACATACGTCAGACATGCGCACACCACAAAGGCACACACATGCCTGCACAGATGCACACACACAGGCATGCACACAGATATGCATGTACACATCAGGTATGTGCATGAACAGCGGCACACACATGAACATTGACAATATGCACACACAAGCTCAGAGACCCACATGTACATGCAGACACATGCAGAAATCCCTCCCTGACTACAGAGCTGCAGGAATTCTGGCACCAGCGCCAGCACCGTGGACAGCGCCGCCGATTCTTGGTGTGTGAAGTTGGGGCAGGAGAAACTAGAAGAGGACAGGGAGGTGGCAAACAGGAAGTGTGACTGCTCACAGCGAAGCGCTGGCAGCTCCAACTTCATCTGAGGAGTCTCAGGAAGACAGAGCCTACCCAACTGCTGCAGACCCCCCTGGTCCTGGAGGACACACCTGCAAGGGCAAGTGAGGCCGTCCTGTGGGCAGAAGTCACAGCAAGAATGAATTCTTATTAAAAAGCAAACAAGCATCCTGTGCTCCAGCACACATCCTCCGAGGCTGACACCAGGCTGGGTGCCTCCCGGGAGGAGGCCTTTGGGACGGGGCTCTGTGGCCTTCTCCACAGAAGGCCTAGCTAGGCCAGCAAGGCCATGCCAACAGCATGGAGCCCATGGAGCTCTCTCCTCAACATGAGCGGCTGGCACCGCTGAATCACCTACATGGGAAGCTGCAGGACAAGGAGTCAAAGGACTGGCATTGGGGTGCAGTGAGCCGAATGGAGGGGGCGCTGCGGGGCAGGGTCCCCTGGCACATCCCCTCACCACACACACGGCAGCAGGCGGTGAGGATGGGAGAGAGGAAGCAGCAGGACCGCCTGGCACTCCTCTGCCTGCTCAGGGCCCAGGACAGGGCTCCTGCCCCCACGAGGCTGTGGTCCTCACCCCAGCAGCCAAGGATCGCCTCCACCCAGTAAGTCCCACGCAAGCTTTGCCTCCTCTAGAAACATCCCTGAAGCACATATGGAGTTGGGGAGAGGACCAGAGACACACTACACACAATGACCAATGACCATGGAGGAGGCTCCGCAAGCCCAACACCACCACCACACCCAAGTGACACAGTCAGCATCTCCAGAAGGGAGCAAGGTCCCGCATGGCTCTGCTCACCAACACAAGAGGCCTGGACAGGCACCGGGAGCTGTCCAGGGAGGAGGAAGCAGCAAGGCTCAATTTGCCAACGCCGGACGCAGTCACTCCTTGCAGGAGTTACCTGGGCAGCTCCTAGGGCCCTCATCCACCGCAGCAGGCCCCTTCCTCGAGGAGCACGCTGCCCCTGGAGGATCTGTGACACTGGGGACCTCCTTAGTCCACTGCAACCCCACACCAGGCTCCCTGACCACTGGCTCCCCTGCAGGCCAGAAACAGTCCGGCCTGAGCTAGCACTTCATTACATGTCAGATATCACCCAATCTCCCCGGGCAGAATGGCGGCCGCAGTGCCCTTCCCCTTCCTGGGACCCTAGTCAATGAGGAGAGCCATTCATGGTCAGAGCTGCACAGGGTTAGCTGTTTCGAGGGAAGATGATTAGTGAATGACTAAAACAATTAACAACTCTCATTCACTTTAGTGAGTGGAGAAAGGTTTTTTTTTAAGTTGATTAGGTACATTACAGATGATATAATAATTTCTTGCAATAAAGAAGAGAATTTATTTCAGGCTTGGAAGAGTTGCAAACACTTGAAGGAATGTAAGAGAAGACTGTGCTACGGTTTAAAACGAGGGGAAAGCCTGCAGTAGCAAGAAGCCCCCCACCAGGAAGGCAGGGACAGCTTTGCAGGCAGCTAGCTGTTCTGTCTGCTCCTAAGAACCGCAACACTCAATTAACACCCTACCAGCCCTACTTGCAGGGGAGGGTCGGGAACAAGGTAGTTCTGGTACTCATTAACCCACGTGAATGTCCATTCTGGAGCATACCATCTGATTGCTTAAAAACCGGTAAGTCGGGCAGGGCGCGGTGGCTCAAGCCTGTAATCCCAGCACTTTGGGAGGCCGAGGCGGGTGGATCGCGAGGTCCAGAGATCGAGACCATCCTGGTCAACATGGTGAATGAAACCCCATCTCTACTAAAAATACAAAAAATTAGCTGGGCATGGTGGCACGTGCCTGTAGTCCCAGCTACTCAGGCGGCTGAGGCAGGAGAATTGCCTGAACCCAGGAGGCGGAGGTTGTGTTGAGCTGAAATTGAGCCATTGCACTCCAGCCTGGGTAACAAGAGCGAAACTCCGTCTCAAAAAACAAAAACAAACAAACAAAAAAAACTGGTAAGTCATTTTAACCTGTGAGCTGAGCAGGTGACAACCCGCGGGCCCTACAGGACAAGGGGGAGGCTAGCTGCACCGCTTCCTACAAACGGGTTGAGACTATGTTTTTCTCCGTGTTCTGCCTCACTGAGAACTTTTTTTTAATGCCATTGTTTTATAACTATAGTTGCCACTGTCTTTTCATTTCAAAGGGAAAAACATGATGATCAGTTTTAAACACAGGGAAGGAAAAATTCATCAGGCCGAATTAAACCAAGTAGCAAGAGGTTCATGTCAAAAACCGCCACTCTTTTCATTATAATGATGATAACAGGGTGAAGGTAATGAGCTGGGGTTTACAGGAAGCAGACGCACGCTGTTTTCTAATACTGCCCTTCTTTCTTTTTTTTGAGATGGAGTTTCGCTCTTGTTACCCAGGCTGGAGTGCAATGGCGCGATCTTGGCTCACCGCAACCTCCGCCTGCTGGGTTCAGGCAATTCTCCTGCCTCAGCCTCCCGAGTAGCTGGGATTACCGGCACGCGCCACCGTGCCCAGCTAATTTTTTGTATTTTTAGTAAAGACGGGGTTTCACCTTGTTGACCAGGATGGTCTCGATCTCTAGACCTCGTGATCCACCCGCCTCGGCCTCCCAAAGTGCTGGGATTACAGGCGTGAGCCACCGCGCCCGGCCCCCTAACACTTCCGTTGTGAGGCCAGGCCAGGTTAACCAGTTCCATTGATTCTGCCCCTGTCTTTGGTACTGACTAACGCTATCACAGAAGTTAACAAGCACTAGGATGCGCCCCACAGCTCGGGTCCAGGGAAGGTAAACATCGTGACGTCCGTCTCTCAGATGAGAACACCGAGGGTCAGGGAGGTACTGCTACACTTTTTGGTGAGGCTGTCGGAGCCAGCTGCAGCCCTACCCCGGGGCCCTGGGCTGGGACCCCTCTCAAGAGCTGAGCGCCCCCCACTCACTCACTGACACGCGCTCTGCTGAGAACACGAAGCCCTGGCTGGGCTCGCCCCCGCCCAGGTCCGCAGACACCAGGTGCGGCCTGGCAGGGTGAGCCTGTCCCCACTCCCGGCCCGGCCAGCAGCAGGCCTGCAAGCAACAACACGGGCGAGGGGCGGGCCGCGGACCGTGGTCGGGGTCTGGGGTAAGAGCGGGGTCTGGGTAGGCACTACGGGGGAGGTGGGGAGTCGGTCGGGGTCTGGGGTGGGGCCTGGAGAGAGGCCGGGGTCGGGGTCCCGAGTCAATACCGCGGTCTGAGCCGAGAGCTGGGTCTGCGGTCTGGGCCGAAGGCCTCCGCGCCGCCCCGCACCTACCGTGCTTCCTGTGCGCCGCCATGCGGGACCCTGGCCGCCGACCTCCGCCAACAGCGCCCGAGCCTGACCCGAGCGACGGGCGCTTCCGGGTTCGGCCCTCCTGGCCCGCCCACAACAGCAGGAATGCCCAATCCGGATACGGGACCCTGCCACGGGCTGTCAATCAACACGCCACTGCTGCGGATTGGCTGATATAGAGTCTGTGGGCGTGTCGCGAGGCTCCAGTCCCGCCTCTGGGAGCCTCGCTGCGGAGCATGCGCGGAGTGAGAGCTGAGGGGGCGACGGCGCCGGCTCTCTGGGGCCTGAGGACACGGTGGCAGGACTCTGGGTGCGAACGTTAGGAAGGACGCTGTGGAGAAGAGGGCAACGGTGGGCTCCAGAAAAGACGCGCCCAGCCCCAGCCCCACGCGTGCACTCGCGGGTCCCCAGTCCCCGCATCGCCCCCGGGCACCTGCTGGACAAAGAGAGTGGTCAGGGAGGCGCCCCCGGCCCCCGGGCACCTGCCGGACACAGGGAGTGATCTAGGAGGTGCCCCCGGCCCCCGGGCACCTGCCGGACACAGGGAGTGGTCAGCGCGGTGCCCCTAGCCCCCGGGCACGTGCTGGACACGGGGTGGCCAGGGCAGTGGCCCCACTTCATCCCTAGCCTGCCGGACCCCTTCTTGGTTCCCTCTTCCAGCTTCCAGGGCCTCTGCCCTCCGGCTCCACTCCCTCAGGACTGTCCTCCTTGAATTCATTTCCTCCAAAACATTTCCCAAGTGTGTACCAGGCGCTGTTCCTCATGTGTGAAATCTCAGGAGGGGACTCCAGAGAGATGGATGTTTTGGAGGAAAATGAAGCAGGCAGGGCCTAACTGGAGAGTGATGGGCACAGGCGTGAGGTAGGCCAGAGAGCAAGACCCAGGTACCCAGGGAAAGAGAGCCTGCAGGAGGGAGGCAATGTCCCAGGAGAATGGCCGCCCTGTTTGTATTTGGGGACCAGAGGCAAGACCAGAATAAGGGGAGCTCAGATCAGGAGGAAAGGAGACCCCAGGCCCAGGCAGGGTCTGCAGGAAGCCTGATAACTTTGCATGTTCCAAGAAGCAGGTGGAAATTGTTACAGGATGTATAGCAGAGGGTGAAATGATCTGACAAAACTTTCTTCGTTTTGGGGGTAGGCAGGGTCTCACTCTGGCCCCGGCTGGGGTGCAGTGGTGCCATCACAGCTCACTCTGGCCTCCAGCAATCCTCCCACCTCAGCCTCCCGATGTGCTGGGATGACATGTGAGCTACTGTGTGCAGCCTGATGTACATGATGAAGAAGTAATTTAGCCTTGTGGTAGGAATAGAGTTGTGTGAGAGGCAGCCTCAGACCAGTTTCGTCCGCTGCAATAAGAGATGCTGACAGCTCGCATCCAAGTGGTGGCATTGGAGGTTCTGGGGGGCTGGTTGGATTGTGGATGTGTTTTAAGGTAAAGACAGAGAGATTTTCTGATTGATCAAATCAGGCTGTGATAGAACAGGAGAAACGTAGAATGGCTTTAAGTGTTTCATTTGGAAACTGGAAGGCTGGAGGTGCTCGGAGCGGGTGGAGAGCCTTCTGGGGGCTCTTCATTGGGTGGTAGTACGCAGTTTTACACGGGTCAAGTTTGAGGAGCTCATAAGCATAAGAGATCATGAAGGGAGCACGCGTGAACAGAAAGCAGTCCCACAAATGAGCCCAGAGGGGCTCTGGCCTTTGAGAGGTGGGGAGATGAGGAGGTTGCAACTGTCACACGTGAGGGGTGGCCAGAGAGGAAAGGAACGTCCTGAAGCCAAGTCAAAGGACAAACCATTCATCTCCAATGATGTGGGTGGGGCAAGAGGAGGATCAGTGATAGAAGGTCGGATCTGTTAAGGGCAGGGGCCGTCAGCAATCTTGGTTACAGGAATTTTGTTGGTGTGGTAGAAGCAGAAGCTTGGTGGAGATTTATAGGATTTCGAAGAGAAGTTAAAGACGTCGACTCTACACCGTTCTCTGGTGGGACCATGCAAATGGGGCAATAGCTGGAGGGTTTTCAAAGACAGAACACACACACACACAGACAAACACACACACAAACACACATACACACACACACAAACACACACACACAGAGGGAGGGAGGGAGGGAGAGAGAGAACACACACACACACAAACACACACAAACACACATACACACACGCGTGCACACACACATACACACAAACACAGAGGCACACACACAAACACACACACATACACACACAAACACACACGCGTGCACACACAGACACAAACACACACACAAACACACACACACAGAGGGAGGGAGGGAGGGAGAGAGAGAACACACACACACAAACACACATACACACACACGTGCACACACATACACACAAACACAGAGGCACACACAAACACACAAACACACACGCGTGCACACACACAGACACAAACACACACACACACAGAGGGAGGGAGGGAGGGAGAGAGAGAACACACACACACACAAACACACAAACACACACGCGTGCACACACACATACACACAGACACAAACACACAAACACACACAGGCACACACACACAAACACACACACACACAGAGGGAGGGAGGGAGGGAGAGAGAGAATGTGACCTGATCAAATTGCTATTGAAGATGAGTGTCACAGGAGGGGAAGCAATGCCTGTAATGAGGCCATGTCTTGAGCCTGCTCTCCACCATTCTCACCAGCATTCAAGCCCACTGTGGACTCTCCCATAACAGAATCCTCCCAGAAAATATGTATTTTTCTCCAGCCCTGTTACTTCTATCTCTTCCACACCCAAACTGGTTGAAAGAGTTGACTACAAAGCCAGTCTCCAGTTTGATGTCTTCCATGGATTCTGACCTCGTCCATCTTTTCTCTCTACCCCTCCACTGTACCTGCTCCTGCCAAAGTCCCCAAGGGCATCCATGTCCCTAGCCCCAGCACACAGTTCTCAGTAACCACGTAACACGCTAAGGCCTCCCGGAAGTGTCAACCAATTGCTGAGCCAAAATTGGGAGTCGCTGGCGACTCTCCTCTTCCTTTCTTCCTGAAAACCCATCCAGAAAAATCACATCAAGCACATTCTACTTGCAACGTGTCTTACTTCCACTGATGAGTTTGTGTGTTCATTGTCTGTCACTAGGATTTCTTCAGGCATTTTTAAGTGGATTTCCCCAATCCCACTCTTGTTTCCTCACTCCCACTCTACCGCCGTCTCTTCTCATAGCAGCCCAAACCATCATTTTAAAATCTCACTGCCATCCAAAAATCACTGAATGTGGACCATCACAGCAACAGGACCATGAAGAAAAACTGCACGAAAACCGCACGTTCACATCAATAGATGCAGAAAAACCTCGTCCATCTTAATGGGTGTTTAAATCCAGCACCCATTTGTGATTTAAAACCCCAAAACCCTCAGCAAACTATGATTAGAGGATAGCTCTTCAGTTTGATAAGGGACACCTACAAAACCCTTCAGCTAACATCGTACTTAACAGTGAGAAATTAGAAGCTCTCCCAGTATAGTCAGGAAGATAAGGAAGATGAGGAAGAGGGCAAGGCTCCACTCTCACCACTGCTTCTCACTGTCACATGGAAGACCTGGCCAATGCAATAAGACAAGAAAAGGAAATACAAGGTATACAGATTGGGAAGGGAGAAATAAAAGTCTTTGTCTACTAATGACATGATTGTCTTATGAAGGAAATCTCTGTCCTACTCAAAATCCTACATCATAATTCATTGTATAGAGGATATAAATCAAAGCCCTTACAATGTCCTGAAAGACCCCTGAGTTTTTCCTTATCTCTCTAAATCCTGTTCCTAGGGCCATGGCAGAGGCCCCCTCTGACTCCACCCTTACAGTGCATTCCCCTGCTGATTGGCCTCTGGACTCTGTTTGAAGCTTTGGGAGGTGCTCAGCTCTGGCAGTGAGGTGTGTGGGCAGGAGCAGCCCTCAGTCACGGGGCCCTCAAAGCTGAAAAGCTGTCCAGCGTCCCCATGCCGAGGTGTACTCCAAGCTGCTCCCCTTAGAGCACCTCCAGTAGGATGGGGCCCAGTGCCCACAGGAGCAGCCAGGTGTCACCACGGCCTCCGGAATGTCCCCTCCTGCCCGGCCACTCTCTCCCAACTTCCTGTCTCTAGTTTCCTGGGATCAATCTCCCAAATGAACCACGTGCACCCAAATCCACATCTCAAAACCTGCTTGTGGGAGAACCCAGGGGAAGATTTAATAACGCTGTCCTAAGAAGGTTCTTTCCTGATGTCACAAACCATGTCGGTTGCCCTTTTCACATTCACCAATAACACCCCATGTGTTTCCTTCAGAGAAGTAACTATAACTTGTAATTGTCTGTCCCTTGGGTAACTTCTGGGTGGATCCTTCTCCAGAATGAAGGCTTCATGTGGTCATGACCCGGGCGTTCTGTGCTGCTCATACACTGAGAACACATGAGAGGCCGTCAGTACATTTGTGTGATTTTGTTATTCCTGTTGCATGAAAGAACAGTTTTTTTTTTTTTTTTAAAGGTGAAGGGATATGGACGAAATGAGGGGAGGAAAGCAAACGGAAAGTAAACTGTGAAATGAAAATAAATTGGGCTGGAATCTCTTCCCGGTTGAGGTTTAGGCGTTGAGTCCACCGGTGTTTGACAGTGGAGACCAAACACTCAGGAGAAATGGACAGGGCCGGACTTCTCCCATCCCCCTTTCTACCCCTCCTCATTCAGCACTCCGCCTTGAAAATAACTGCAACTGTTGAATATTTGAGTGATCAATTACATGGGAAATTCGTAGAGCCTGGTTTCTGTTTAAAGATCTTGGAATTTCTGGAAAGGTTCGGTTTGTCCCATTCAAAATATTTGGATGACCTGATTCCATTCTAACTCCCATCCATCTTGCAATACGGTTTGTTTTCACATCTTTTAGCGCATTTAAATGCCATCATCATGCAGTTGGAGATGCTGAAAAGTACATTTCTGCCTTTGCGTTAAACCGGGGCTGAGAGACTGGCCCGGGGTCGGTGCCCATCCGGGATGGCCCCTGCCTCGCCCGCCAGCGCGCGTCTCGCTCCCGCTTTCTGCTCCTGGACGCGCAAACCCAGGACTCTGCGAGAGTCGGTGAAAACGTGGCCAGTGTGGCCGA